CAGGTTCGCCTGGTGTATGATGGGACTGACTCGCGAAGAATATGATTCAGAAGAAAGAAAGAGATCAAAAGAAGAAAAGGTTTTCCTTATGACGAATCTGAGGGATCTGATAGTCCAGGAGGGAGCAGCAGTAGCGTGTGCGAAGCGGAGAGACGCTCTCTGTTTCATTCGATTCCTGATAGAGCAGATTTCAGTACCTGCATTAAACACTTGTGTTAAAATGTTGAGGGAAGGCGATGAGCGAACGAAAGCCTTGTTTTTACTAGCAATGCTGGAGATGCAGCAAAGTAAACCGATGAGGGTGAACATGAAAGAACCTGAAGAATTGGAACCCATGAAAAAGATAGACGAGATCAGGAGATTCTCAAACAAGGAGTTGAGACTCACTAAAGAATCTATGGGAGCATTGCCGAAATCCAGTGAATACTGTGGACCGATCAAGAAGAAGTCATATAGCTACGTATCCGGGATTATAGGGATAGCGTACAATCCTTTCCTGAGTGAAGACATACGCGATTGCTTCTTTGATTATGAGCAGGCGGTGTTACTAAGATTCTTGACGTCCAGAATTGTAACGATTAAGAGCGTTAACAATCCACAGGCCAAATTGGGATTGGTCTTGGAAGAAGAGGTGACTGCACCTTCAGTACCAAAATCCGACAAGAGAGTGGAGTTTGGGTTGGGATTCTCAGATGAATTACTGAGAACGAGCTTGATGGCAGTGTGGGAATCGATGAAGCCATCATGGTGTCCTAGTCCCAACGCTGACTCAATATTACGGGCGACACAAGACGTACAGAGGGAACTGAATGCAGACTGTAACCTGCGTGACCTCAACATCATATATAATGTGGTGATAACAGCCTCTAAGAACAACGGAGAAGATAAAGTGGAGTTGCCTGGCTGGGGACCAGAAGACTGGGTCAAACCTGGTAGCTGTCTGGCGGAAGTCTGTGGACTAGAGGGTCATGTTTGTGGAGGTCTAGACTGTGTGAAAACCCTGGATAAACAACACAAGCAATTGACAGTATTGTTTGGAAATGTGGTGATGAAAGCAAGAACGGAGACGGAACTGATAGCAGATTGCCATGGAGGAACCGATGTGAATCTAGTGACTGCACTAGGATTCTACAGCATGTTTGGTTCTTTAGAGTCACTATTGAATCTAGAACAGAAACATGAGATGGTCACAGCCATCGGCGTAGAAGTATTCCCAGGAGTTCTGCAGACTGAGCAGAAATATCTAGGAAAATGGAGGGAAGCAATCGAAACGGAGATGAACATCAGACACAGCGAAACTTACTGTAGACCATCAGGAGCACGATATTTGGTGGGTTCAACGTTGGCTCCAATGTGCAAGAGCAGATATCCTGTGCATTTCGTGGCTGTGGACGTGAAAACTACAAGAACGATCGTGGATCAAGCCTTCTCAGTGCCGAAGTGTGTGAGATTGGCGAGAATGTCTGAAAAGTCTTACGAGTTACTATGTAAGATGTTCTCAGCAATTCCAGAGAGAACCAAAGAAGAGTTGGAGTCAATACTAGGAAGGAAGTTCATGGGATATGTGAGCGGGAACTTCAGTGACTTCGAAAAACAGAAACAGAGAGGATCAACTGTCTCAGATTACAATGCAGTAGATGAGAATGATGAAATCCACCGAGTGATGATGGAAGTGGAACCATTGTTGGAAGCTTCGGGAAAACGTAATTGGAGGAGCATCATGTTGACGCATGACGAGTTTCCTTGCCACTGCTTGCTGCAGACCTGGTGGTATCCCAAGCGTAGTAATCTGATGTTGATCTGGGACTCTGGAGAGCTGCTCTCCATGGGTTTACCAGATTCATCACAGCCCACAACAATCGTGATAGTGGGAATTATGATGGCAATACGATGGCTGGAAGCTCATGTGAGAGAAAATAATAGACAGGAGGCACCGACGAGAGAACAATTGCGGAAATTAGATTGTCTAAAAGATTTAGATCTTTTTGAGACAATGTGCAAAGTTCTAAACATTCCGATGGAAGTGAAGAAGATATGGGCGAGAAAACGATTGATGCCATGGTTCAGAGCTAGCATGACTGCATGGTTGTACGAGTATGCGAAAAAGCATATGTCGAAGCATGGCAGAGTATACAGTGAATATCAGCTGGACATTGGGGCAGGAGCTTTCAAGCGAGCTTTCGTGACCCATCGGAATGCAGTGACCACCGCTGTGAAGAGAATTTCCAGGACGAGTGAGCGTAGTGGAAATGAGAAGGCAGAGATGCTGAAAGAAGATCTGGAGAGAAACGTGACGTTGTGTCTCCACAACAGCTTCTGTAGAAACAGAGAATCCAACGTGGATCCCCTACCTTGCTGTAAACAGAGGGTAGAAGAGCAGAAGTGTTAGAGGACGGCTTCCAACAGCGTCAGGATAGCCAACGATGTGCTACAAGACACGGAAACCGAAAGTGCGGAGTCAGTATCACAGGAGGAAGAAATGGAACATTGATGAATGGTCGAGAAAACAAGAGGCAACAAGAAAGAGAATTAGAAGAAATTAGAAGTTTTAGAACTTCTAAACGACGAAAAAAAACAGAGAACAAAGGAATGATGAAGAAAAGTCAAAACTCAGAATTGTTTTATGTGTGTGAAAAACTCAAGCGAGAAACCAAGCAACCAAGTTGTAATAGAAAACTGAAACATTTTGTTGAGTTTTGAAATTGTTGCATTTATAAATTTGCATTTTGGTTTTAGTTGAAGTGGCTTTAGAGACACTTATTATTTATTTAGAAAGGCTTAAGGGAAGAGTATATTTAAACATTCCAGCCTGCATGATTGTTTTTAATCACTTAGGAAGACTGATCACTTTGTGGTGACATGAAAAACTTGAGTAACTTCTCGAAGAGGGAGATTGTTTCATTGTTATTTCTAACCACAGAGTTTCTTAGTTTTAATATTCAGGAACAAGCAAGATTTCCGAAGGGAAGAAGCATAGTAGGATAATTTTAGCTTGTTGGCTGGCAGGACTGTCCTGCAAGCCAACACCTTTTAAATCTAAGAGAAAAAGTTTTAATCGGGACATTGACAATGGAAGTCAGAAAATATGTTTTATCTTAAGTCATATCCTTAATGTGCAGATTAATGAAAGAATTTGGAGGCTATAGTGATGTAGTATGATGCCATTTATATTCTGCAGTGAGTCGATGTGACGTGGATAAAAGTAATTTCGTGCATTTTGTAAATTCTGTTCGATGACACTGTAACCATTTTACGAACATTGCGCGATTCAATGAGGACATTGACCGGACTGTCCGGGGAGTATGTGACATTCGACCAGAATGGCCAAAATGCAATCTCTGCAGAATTCGGAATTTTAGCAGTAAGCCTTCCGGATTGGTGGTTTTTAAGAACTAAGGGCAGGGATATCGATTCGAATCCGAGTATTCGACCCGAATACCGAGTATTCGGCACTTCGAAGCCGAATCCGAATATTAAAATTTTGAAATCCGAATATCGAATCCGAATATTTTTTTTTTGCCGAATACCGAATAATCCAGGGTCCACTGCTAAAAAACCCGAATATTCCGAATATTGGTTTACTGTTTTGTTTCACAATATTTTTCTGTTTTTTTTTAAGATGGCTAATGTAGAAGCAAACTTCTATTTCATTAGCAAACTTGTTTTAAAATTACGGTCTCTTTTTTAAATAGTGTCACTCGATTTAGCTCGAAAAACTGGGTTGTGACTGATTTTTAACATTTACTCACTCCCGCGATTTTTACATTATTACGCAAGTCCCAGCCAATTCTACTTGAAAAATGCTATGTTCAATACTTTTTATAGAATTTGTTGTATCAAACTTTTATGCTAAGTTTTTTGGGAAAATAACCAAATATCCGAATAGTTGTTCGAGTAGTAACATTTGGCCGAAGCCGAATCCGAATAGTAAGGGCACTATTCGGCCGAAGTCGAATATCGAATAGTTGGGCCGCGGCGAATAACGAATATCAAAAAATCCGAGTATTCGACATCCCTGACTAAGGGCGTTATTGGAACGTTTAGCCAAACGGTGAGGGCTAGAATATTCTAGTATTTAAAAATTTCAAAAATTCGAATGATGACGTCACATTTCTGAGAAATGCTGAAACGGCCATTTTAACAAAAAACGAGAGAAGAAACACAACAACATTAGTTGCGCTGACGAGAACAACTTTATCGAAATTGAAGAAATCGAAATTGAAGAGAACGACAACGAATAGCAGAGGACGTTCCGAGTTGCAACTATTGTGCTGCTACAATAGTTGCAAGGCCGTTGCGAGCAACGGTGAAGGGTAAGAGACAGCCTTCCGTGTTATTGTGAAATCGAACTTAAGGAGCTTGATTCAGTGGATTCACAAATCCGGAAGGGTTTCGGGACTGAAACTTTTAGCCTATTATATGAACTTTTAGCATCCTGTCATGTCCTGACTTGAATTTAATTGATATTTGGATTAGTTTTGACAAGGATGAGGTGCTAGGAGTTGGGGGAAAGGGTTGATCCATCTTCGATGGAGATGATGATTTTTATCTACTGAACAAAAACAATAGTAATATAATAAGTAGTAGCCCTGTTTTTAGGAGTGACCTCGTGGTCTGGGGATACTGAGACCCAGCCACGAGCTCACTATTTTTGCATGTAATTCAGTTAATTTGAGCGTTCTGGTCGAAGCCGGAGAACAGTAACGTTTTTGTCGACCCGATGTTAGAAAAGACCACCGAAAAGTACTGGCTTGGTAGAGACGGTGAAAAACATGCAAAGCTCTGTTTAGACGCTAGCCAGTCGTCTTAAGACTTAGTTTTGTTATCCGTCGATATGTATCTTCCGGGCGAATGTTACATTATCACACGAACGTGTCGTGTCCGGAGGCTGTCTTCGTTTTAATTTTTTGTTTCTTCCTACCGACTGTATGTCGTCTTGTTACTGGCTGATGTGTTTGATTATTTTGAAAAGACTTTCTCAAAGAATTGATTTCAGAGATCACTTTTTTTAGAAATAATGTCTGCTATCAAGGATTTGTTGCGAGGACGGAAAGATCAAACTTTTAGACCAAAAAAGAAATTTGAAGATGGATCAGGTCATTCAAGTTTGCATAAATATGCCAAAGCGTCTTTGAAGGCTGGATTAGACTTTTCTGAATTAGTTAAGCTTCCACCAGGAGAAGATAAGAATGATTGGATGGCAGTTCACGTGGTAGACTTCTTCAATCGAGTGAACCTCATTTACGGAGTCATCAGCGAATATTGCACAGTGACAAGTTGTCCAAAGATGAGTGGTGGAGCGAAGTTTGAATACTTTTGGGCCGATGAGACAAATAAGAAGCCAGTGGCCCTGCCAGCTCCTGAATATATGAATAACCTCATGGACTGGATCGAATCGAAAATCAACAATGTGAAGGAATTCCCGACAACAACGAATGTGCCATTTCCAAAGCATTTTCCCGCGTTGTGCAAAAAAATTCTGACGAGGTTGAATAGGGTATTTATACATGTATATATTCATCATTTCGAACCCATCGTGTCTCTAGGATCTGAAGCACATGTCAATCAATGCTACAAACATTTTGTTTACTTTGTAACAGAGTTTCAGCTGGTAGATTACAAAGAGTTTGAGCCTCTTGCAAAAGTCACCGATCAACTTTGTCCAAGGAGAATTGCGATGTTGAAAGATAATAAATAAAGTCAAAAGATTATTGCATCTATCTCGAATAGTTTCTTTAAAAAATATTTCAATTAAATAGTTTAGATTTTCTATTCAATTTTATATCTAATCTAACGAGTATCAGGCTGCTTAATTTTTTCATATCAGTAATCTGCCTTTTTGGTTTAGTTTGATTAATTAACTCTTCATTGACAGCCATTGTTTTGTAGGTGCCCATGAACGCAGTCAGTAATCTTCAAATTATTTAGGTCTTCAATTGTTTCAATTCTAATAGCACATATTTTGAACCATACCAAAATATGTGCTACTAGAATTGAAAGGTTTCAATTGACGATTTTTTTCTAGCAATTTTTTAAAGCGAGCAGTTATGTATTTCTCTTTGGGGGAACGGTTCAACTTGTAGCGCTGTTTTTGGCTGTGCACGTTTTGATAACTGAGAGGAAATAATCAATAGAAGCAATAGTTCAGACAGTTCCGAATACATTGAAAACCGAAGAGTTTTTTTCATAATGAATGTACAAATATTTAAAGTGATGTTTATGTACATCGTTGAAACAAAATAAAGCATAAAAATTTTAAACAAAAGCTCTTAAAATTTTAAACAAAATTTTAAGTCAAATGAAGTTTAATTTTTTCCATGATATCTTTCCATAGCTATTAGAGCTTCATATTCCAAGTTAAGATTATGATTTTTCAAAAAGTTTTATTTGTATTCTGTTGGAGCATTTTTACCCTTGCGATGAGCAAGGGTGTTGCAATCAGGTACTAGATTTTTTCCCGTAAATAACTTTGTTCGCAAGAGTGTTTTCATCTTGACTACTTTCCTGGAAGCCTTTGATAGCAACAGATTTACCGCTACAGATATATTTTGTTCGTGTTAGCTTTTTAAATATCTGTGTTATTCGAATTAATCTTTTTATGTTGGCTGAAATTTTCTCAACTCGAAAGTTTCCCGGCTTGTTAGGTTTCGGCCTGTATTATATCGGCTTAGTAACTTTATGTTGCGTTATATTGTTCGACGAGCGATTTTTTATGTGTATGTGTTTTGAGGGCTAGGGGAACTGAATAATTTTTTTTAGTCTTAAAATTTTTTGATTGTTTCGGCTTTTATTATTTTCTTTTTTTTTCATTAAATAGATTTCGGACGACATTATATCGGCTTAGTGGCCTCATACTGTTTCATTGAATGCTCGAATAAAGTTTGTGTCTGCTTGGGGGCGAGGAGACTTGATCTTTTTTTTGAATTTTTTCGGCCGGAAGGGTTTTTCCTAAGGTATTTTTGGATTTGTTACCACTTGATTACACAAGCAAAGCTTGTGTGCTAGTATGAACTCTCTTTTTTCCCAACCTAAGTTGCAAATATTGTTGCGACGCAAATATTGTTGCGACAAAATGTGTTGTTTGTGAAAGTGCCCATTTTGATCAATATGTACAGCCAATGCTAAGGATATTAACACCGTCTATTACAAATAGCACTTTAGCTTCAAGGTATCATGGATCGGTAGCGTAGAGGTAGGGAAGTAGACCCGCATCAAAATAAGAGTGTTAGAACCTGGGAAGGGTCGGATGTTTTTAATGAACTTTTTCGTACACTAGTTAAAATGCGTCCGCTCTAGAAATTGAGGCATGTTAGTTGGTGAATTTCTTTTTTTTTCGAAGTGACTGGTACTGCAAATGCGTCCTAATTGGCTTGCGGCCTTAGCAATTATATAGACTCATAATTGGAGTGCGTCACTTAAGAAATTATGTAGACTCAAAGTTTTACTCATTCAGTTTTTCCCACTAGCGTTATCGGTCATATTTCTGCTTGTGTATGTGAAGTGCAACTTCGCCTCTGCGTAGAATATAGCAGGATGGAAAAATCTTTAAAAAAATTTCCCAAGGGGTCCTTTGGCCTTTAATTAGAGGTCGTCAGAGAAAATACCCGTAAACAGCCGAAGCAGTTGAAACGTTGGACTTAAAAAGTTTTCGTTGAAAAACTATGGATATAAGCTAGTCATACATGTAGGTGTACCTTCACATAAGTAAGAACTAAAACCTTTGTTAAGCGCTTAGACAGTAAAATGCCAAAATCTGAGTTAATTTTTATTTCGTAGCTGAGTAGTTTTTGTATTATTTTTGAAGCTAGGGGAAACTTATATGAGGGCCTAGCTTAGAATATTAGCTTTCCGAAGAATATTTTTAGTCCAAAGTTTCAAACTGCTTCTGCTCTCTCATTAAATGGCAAAATGACTATTTGAAAACCATTTTTCACTGTTTATTATTCGGGCTATAATCTAATAAACAGTTTCATCAAGTTTATTACGCAGGCTAGTTGCAGCGAGCGTTGTGTAATAAATAGTGCGGCTGTTCTTTTTCTCACTCTAAGTCCCAAATATAAGTGTCTTTTTTGATAGCACCTTTACGGATTTCGGATAGCGTTTTTAATTCATCAATTCAACCGAAAAAGCGAATTGTTTCAGACAACAGTACAATAATTAAAACTATATTTCTTAAAACCTCCTACTCATTATATCTGGCAGTTTTTTGAAATGCTTAATTGAAACATAATTTGGCTTTATGCTGCCCATTTTTACATGCAAAATTACTGTGGATGCCTTTAGTGTACTATTAGCATGTTTAGCTGCTTTATTGGTGGCTAGTGTTTAAGAGTCGATGAACGTAGTTGAGACTCTTATATAGTTCGCGATGGTTTTTTTTCAGGAAAAGTCTTAAATGTTTTTGTTTCAAACTTAGGCTTATTCCTTTCGAGAGATCTAGTTTTTTGATATTTTCTGTTTCGAATTAACAGCGTTCTTGTTTTGTATCGCAAGTAGAGCGAAGCTCAGCTTTGCCTCTGTGTTTTTCTCGTATGTCGATCGAGTATTGAAACAGTTCTCAAGAAAAATAGAAATGGTTAAACGTCGCTATTTGAAGATGAGAGTCTTATTTCGACAATGTGCGGTTACTGATGATTTCAATAGTCCAGTTAATTGGGAATACGCATCCTAGTTTGCATACTAAAAAGAGCTTAGTCTGCGATCACTTATACTTTATTTCAAATCTGACGCGGAATTGCATTAAATACGGTGTTACAACTAGTTTATACTACTAAGGGGGGTTGATAAATTAGACGATAAGCAAATTAGACGGAGGTACTTAAAAGGAAATTAGACGGTTTTGCAAAACTGCAATTGTGAGAAAATAGACGAAAGTGAGAGAAATTAACTTTGTTTGCACACAAATTGCGTTAGAAAAATAAAATTGTTTGTAGACAACAGTTCAATTTCGGTGGCCAAAAACTTTACAAATCAATCATGCATAATTTATTCAATTCAAAACTCTCCTGTAATATTCAGATTTGACATTTGATGTTCATTTAAACTAATTGTTCTGATAGGTATTGACATTTTATGTTCTTTTTGTATTTGTGAAACTTGACTCTTAAGAAAAATTTTTGTTGGCCCTTTCCCTTTCGTCTAAAATGCCAGATATGTAAAAAATAAATTCCGTCTAATTTCGTTTTTGTAGCATCCGTCTAAATTGCTTATCGTCTAATTTCCTAGGCCCCACAACTAAGCTTAATTGTTTCTCAAGTGCTACTATTTGGTGCTTTGATGTTTCATTGGGTAAAACGGCTGGACAGAGTAAATGTGTCATAACTTGTGCATTCATTATGAGTAATATCGCTGTTGTTGTGTATGCTTTTTAATGGATTGCAATGTTTTAATACCACACGTCATTTTATAAGGAATCTTTTGATTTGCTGCTGATAGATTAGACTTCGATCAATAGTAACTCAAAGAGATATTTGACGAATAGTTTTCCTCCAATTATTGTTCCGACTTTCGATACGAAAGTAACGGAATATTTGTGCTCGGGGTGGGTTTTTTTCTTCAGACAAATTTCGACTTTTTAAGTATCCATTTTTGACGGAGTTTTTTTTATATCATTTGAAAGGTGTTGTTGTTCTGAGCTTAAAATTGAAAAGAAATTTCACCTGTGATAATTTCCCGTAAAGTTATGAGTGTTTAAAGATTGCTATTTTGGCCAATTTGTGACAATTAACGCGCGATATGTTTCGCGCTAATAACGCGTTAGCGGAGATTTAATCCGTCTGAGAAATCGTTCCAAGTTGGTGGTTGAAAGAAGCTTGTTTGCCATAATTGATTTGTTACAATGAGCGAAATCTATCTTTTTGTACTTTATATGGCGTGTGGGGGGATGATTTTCACAAAAAATTTCAAATTATAGAAAAAAAATTTCATTTTATTTCATTACATTTATTTTTTAATGTTATTACTGCTCCATAACCTTAAAAGGCAGTCGCAACATTCAGGGCTTCGCCCTGATTCGAGCAGTCTTGCTTCATCTTCATTACCAAAGAAGTCCTTTTGTCTTCATGAATTTTGCCCACTTTTCTAAAATAAATGAACTTTTGATCATTCATTTTTGGTAAATATTTTCTGAAATAGTGTTATAAGTTGTCACAACAAATTTACAGCTAATTTGAACCGCATTCATGATCTTGGCTTTCAAGGAAAGCAGTTTGTTATCAGCGTATTGAATGGCTTTCAAGTAATTTGGTAGTTTTTACTTGATGTAAACTGAAAATGAGTGGTCGCAATATTGTTAATTAAGGGACGGCTTGAAAGAAGTCTATACAACCTGATTGTTGTCCACAATTGCAATGATTGCCTATTTCAAGTGTAATCACATCAATGAGAAAATTATAAAAACGAACGAAAAATTTGATGTTCACATTTATGAGTCTTTTGAAAATAGGCGGTGAGTGACCTCTCATTTAAAAATCTTGTAAAAGAAGTATTTAGACTAGTTTTTCTGGACATTGAGATTTAAATTTTATTTTCCTTATCCGATCTGCAATTGAAATGTTTTCCATTTGATAGCACTCTCGTTGTCCGAATGTGAAGAAATTTTGTCGTAGGTTGTGGTTTCACATTTTCCAGCTAAATCAGTTATTACGAATAAAGGCCAGGGTTGATTGGTATATCATCAGCAAGGTCTTTCATTCGTGATCCGAGCGATATGTACACTTGCTTGAAGCATGGCATATCTTAAATTATCACAAATGGCACGAAGCTCTGCTTCTTCTGGGCAAAAAAAAACCATAAAAAATTTGTCGAGAATGTCGGGCTCAAAATTTGATAGTCCAATATATAGCAAGTAAGGCAAGCAGAATGTTTTTAAATAT